AAATACCTAAATTGCCTTGTCTCGCCTTACCTTCATAAGGCGTCGCCTCGCGCTACGGCCTTTCACAAGGTCGCCTCGCCTCAAGGGTATGAGGCGTTGAAGCCTCGCCTCGCCTCGCCTCGCGCCATGGCGACGCCATGGCGCGCTATTTTAATCACTGAATATAATAGTGTACAGTTTATTTATTTTATCCCTCTGTCCCAAATTAAATGCATGTTTTGAATTTACCGCGTGTCCCAAATTATTTGTTCTTGCGTTATTTTGGACAAATGTATTATACTATTTGAATTAAATATTTAAACAATGATTTTATTATCCATGTAATTTTTAAAGATATGTCAAGCGACATGGAAACATTTTTCTATTTAAAAATAATGTAGATCAATGGAATTATTGCAGATGTTAATAAAATTATTCAAGAAAAAAAAAAGGTATCATATTTGATTTGATCTGATTTGGAAACAAGTATATTGAAACATTTAATGCATATATTGAAATAGTTTTCAAATTAGGTATGACTGGATGTTCTTAGATTTTTTAATATTACATTTAGTAAGTGCGTAGTTTCTTTATGTATATATATATATATAGAGAGAAAGATACTAATTATATATATATATATAGACCGAGGGACTTCACAATAGAAAGAAGCACATCTTATTGAACATGTTGTAGCTGAGGTACGTCTATGTCTTGCTCTCTTTGAATTTCTCTTTTTGTGAGGCACATCTTAGTAGGTTTTAATGTCTGTCTAGAATAAATGTGAAGATTAGTGAATCCACAGTAATTTTTCTTGCTGATTTTGACTTGAACTGTATAGTAGTATTTTCAGTTGGTTCCCACTTCTCAAACTTTTATTTGAATACATAATGTCGTAGTTATATATTTGTCTTCAAGTTTAAACATGATGGTCCTTATACTGCAGTTACCTAAGAACATAGACTTTGAAATTAATATGGGGACTTTAAACAGTTTATACTCAATTTCCGCAGTGCGCTGTCTGATAATCGGTTTAAATATTATGGGAAACCGGTTCTAACAGCGAACCGAGGAAACTTCGAGATTGTATTACGGGATGACGTGACGAGAAATGCAGCTACCATCACCATTGGGCGCAACGACATCTATGTATATGGGTACGTAGCGGGTGAGGTGCGGCGAGAGTTCAGAGTGATGGACCGGGGGCATATTGGCAGGTCCGACAACTTAACCTTCACGGAGTCCTACAATTGTTATTGTATTTTGATTATATTCTTCATCTTTACGAATTACAATTTTATTGTACGTTTGGTTGAATTTTAAAGGTAATGTCAGGCCTAATAAGCAAATTCAACCAAACGTACAATACAATTATAGTTCGTAAAGATAAAGAATATAATCAAAATACAATAACAATTATAGAACTCCGTGAAGGTTAAGTACTTGTACCTGTCAATACGCCCGGTCCATTACTCCTGAACTCTCGCCGCACCTCACCAGCTACAAACCCATATACATAGATGTCGTTGCGCCTAATGGTGATGGTAGCTGCATTTATCGTCACGTCATCACGTAATACAATCTCGAAGTTTCCCCAGTTCTACGTCAGAACCGGTTTCCCATAACATTTAAACTGATTATCAGACAGCGCACTGCGGAGATTGAATATAAACTGTTTAAAGTCCCCGTATTAGTTTCAAAGTCCATGTTTTTAGGTATTTGCAGTTACATAAGGACATTAATGTTTAAACTTGAAGACAAATATATAACTACGCCATTATGTATTCAAATAAAGTTTGAGAAGTGGGAACCATCTGAAAATACTTCAAGTCAAATCAAAATCAGCAAGAAAAAGGATTCACTAATGTTCACATCTATTCTAGACAGACATTAAAACCTACAAAGATGTGCTTCACAAAAAAAGAAATCCAAAAAGAGTAAGAGAGAACTGCATGTGCAATAAGATGAGCCTCCTTCTATATTGAGAAGTCCCTCGGTCTATATATATATATATATATATATATATTATATATATACATATATATATACACGTAAAGAAACTATGCACTTACTAAATGTAATAGTAAAAATCTAAGAACATCTAATCATACTTTATTTGAAAACTTTTTCAATATATGCATTAATTATTTCAATATACTTGTTTCCAAATCAGATCAAATCAAATATGATTTTCTTTTTTTTTTTGAATAATTTTATTAACATTTGCAATAATTTCATTGATCTACAATATTTTTACAATATTTTTATATAGAAAAAATGTTTCCATGTCTCTTGACATATCTTTAAAAATTACATAGATATTAAAATCATTATTTAAATATTTAATTCAAATAGTATAACACATTTGTCCAAGATAACGCACGAACAAATAATTTGGAACATGTGGTAAATTCAAAACATGTATGTAATATGGCAGAGGGATAAAGTAAATAAATTGTACACTATTATATTAGCTTAATTGTTTCCTGATATACTTTTCGTTAAATAGCATATTAATTTAAATCTATCTATCTGTCTATATATAAAATAAGAATAAGGTTAAATCATTTTTAGAAAATGTTTTCGCCAAAATCATTAATTAGATACTACAAATGTAAGTTTATATTCTTTTTAAGTATTTTCATAATAAAAATAAAAAGAAACATTAAATGCATTATATTGTTGTTTGTCATGAGTTTTTTAGTCATAAAAATCAAACCATTTTAATGATCTCGTAATCTATTATTTTAATGGTAAAGATTTTGTTGACTGTATTTTTTTTTTAGCAGTTTTCTTAAAATGACCGACTAATCCAAATAAAATTTAAAACTGCAATTGAATTGGACATGTTATATTTCAATCTTATTTTTATATTCCTTTTTCACAAAAATAAGCTATAAAAGTGCGATATAAATACTAAAACAGTTCGACCCTTTCATGCAAAACTTAACAAACTTCTTTTTAATAAATAGCATTCTTTCATTTAGTTAGTTTTGAGCTACAAATGATAAAATATCATTGTTTTTTTAACATACTTATTTTTTTAAATATTATTACAACAAAATCTTATTTATCAACATTGTTCCTTCAACATACCCATATTTGGAAACAAAAGAAGGTAGCAACTATATTGGCCAACAGAACATCAACAAAAACCAAAAAGCTTAAACACACACACACGAACATCAATAGAACCAAAGCTTGCATACACACACACGCGCAGAGAGACAAACAGAGAGAGAGATTTCTTCAAACCATACACATACAGGGGATTATGCAACTAGATTCTTCATTAGATTCAGCACAACACCAATTTTTCACACACACACAGAGAGAGAGAGAGAGGGAGAGAGAGAACTTACTCCTCCATTTGCAAGAGCGACGGCCACGATGGCCGCTGCTTCCATCACCCAGGGCAGAGGATTCCACATAAATCCAAAGAACTTCAGAAATTTACACTCCTGTAAATTTTCATTCAATTTCTCAAATCAAGGCAAGAGTAAAAAACCATAACTAGGCACTACAAATCCCCCACGGAAAACAAGAAAACATAAGCTATCAAACAAAAACCAAAGTTGGTACAAAAGAAAAAAATATATATGTTACCTGAAAAGGGTGACCTCCTTCTCCTCAAGCTTGTTCTGACCAAAAATCTCAAGCCTCCTGCTAGCATCCTCTGACGACAGCCCCTCTCTCGAGCACCTCAGATTCTCGAAAACCTCCGCGATCGGTATATTCTCCTACAAACAAACAAAAAAAAAAATCAATTATATCAAATTTCAGAAACAACAAAACACCAACAAAAAAAAAAAAATACGAAAACTGAAAACCATGAAAAAACGATGGAAAACAAAACCAAAAAGAACTACACACCAAATCAACTGCCTCCCTCTTGAGAGCCTCCATGGCGTCGTCCTTCCCTGCCATTTCTGCAAAAAACACATAACAATCAACAAAACTCCTTTAAATACTCATCCACCCTTAGTTACGTACAAGCATAGTTGTACATTTTCACTTAGATAGAATAAGTCGTCATCAGGCGAACCGAAGATCATTCTATCAGTTACTTGCGAAACAAGAAATTGTGGTTCACAACCTAGATGGAAATGAACACCCCAACGGTTGTAGTGTCAACGGTACAGTTTGTCTTGACTAATTAGTTGCACTAGTACATTTATGTATTGAAAAGAATCCCAGAGAGGAGATGTTTGTTTTACACTGATCGTCGTAAACGAACTAGGCCTCGGTTAATTACTGCATTTTCGGTAATATTACTGTATGTGTGATGTGCGATGTGCTGTTAGGATATTTACGGTCACCATGTACATTTAGATTGATGATGTCCCCGAAGTGAGTTCATGAAGGATTATTATGCTAAACCTGCAGAGGGATTAAATTTCGGCATAGTAATAATGTGATGAATGAGCTCTAGCTTTGAAGAAATAATTATAAATTAATTAATTCTTGATTATTAATAGTCAAATTAATTAATGGATATTATATCTTAAACATGGAGAGGTAATTCGGGTAATCATTATTGGAGTCTCAATTCAGTAACACATGACGTGTTACTGAGGGTAACTACAAAATCTACCCCCAAGAAAAATCCCACTTATCTTCTGGAATTATAATTAATCCCTTGAGGTCTGTATTTCCCATTCATATACATAACACATCCCAATGATGCACTTATGTGATGTAAATAATTTGAACTTTGAAACAAAATCGGGTTTCTTTGCATTAAAGCTAAGCCTTGAGTACTTCTACAAACATGTTTGTCAACTGAAAAATAAAATGACAGAAACAAGTCCTTACTGTTCTGTTGTGCTCAAATTCACTATCGTCCTCCAAGAAAAAGTCGAGATACGAAATATCTACCTGAAAAACATCGAATCAATTTGAATTAAAAAGAGAGGAGGAGATAATTAGTCTCAAAAGATAGGAGTGACTATAACTAGCGAGAACATATTTGTGATACCTCAAGGTTTGCTCCGGACTTTCTGTGATTCTCTATTGAATCTTACCCACCAGAGAATGCATATTTGTTTATCTGTAACGAAGAGGAGGCGAGGTAATGATTTTCGACGACTTTCAATATAGGAAGAGTTTTCACAAAATGACTATAAAGAGGAACCTTGTTTTTAATGTCCTTGGCAGAATCAGTGACATATATAGCAGAATTTGGATGGATCACTGGCCGACATTTTTCCAGTCTCTCCCTGAAGACAAGATAACCATTCAAGTACACATTACACACTATTTATTCATTTCACTCACATGTCAATAACTCTCACGATGAATAGAGAGTCTATTTACAATAAATATCATCAAAAGAATTGAAGAG